AGACACCTGTTCCAGAAAAACAGCAAAATAAGGTTCTTTAAGTTTAATTGAATTAAAAATAGGAAAATAACACACACATTTTATAGATCTGTCACTTAAGAAGATAAGTAAAAATAAAAAATACGCTAGCAAAGAATAAAGTATTCAATGACTTTTTGCTTTATTCTTCTAAATTCTGCCTGGAGATGTAGAAAAGAAGTTTTGCAAAGAAATAGGAATGCTACTGAAAATATTTAGAAAAAATTAATGGATTCAAAAGCAGAGCATCTGAAAGTCCCAACACAAGCCATCTTTGAACAACTAGAAATTGTCTATAAGAACCCAGAAAAGTACCAGATGCCTGGAGGAGGACACACATAACAGCCATTTAAAAAAATTTGGGAAAGGAGAATCAAAACAGAGCAGTCATCTTAACTTGATACCTGGAAATTTACTAGCAAAAATGATCAAGCAACAAATGAGGAAATATTTTGAAGATAAAAAGGTGGTAAGTATAAACCATGTCAAAGCTATTTGTGCTCCTTCTTGAAGAGATAACTTATCTTTTGAATAAGTCATAGACAGAATATACAATAGATGGCAGCATCAGAGAGTTTCTGAAATTATATGACAAAAGACAAATCTAGGTCAACAAATTTATGGTTTCATATGTGGAGATGACAACTTACAAATGTGGTTATAGAAATGAAATTAAAGTACTGACAGTAGATTTGTGTTCCTAGAAATTCATACAACATGACAAAAGGCATCCAGAAGCAGGGTGAGCAGCAGAAATATTTTTAGGAATATCTACTTGTTTACATGGCTGTTGTGAACTTGGTTGCAATAGTGTGTTCATGGCCAAACTGCATATACTGGATGACAGCAAAATTGGCAGGACAGTGAAAGCAATATCATTTAGTGGTGAGTCCTGGTCATATTCAATATTGTTCTTAACACTGGTGGATAGACTAATATCTATATCATATAACATTGACTTTTAAGTCTGGGGATAAGAGAAGAGGACTGAAAGTACTGCAGAAAATGGGGAAACAATTCAAATTGAGAAGAAGGTTGGCAAGAAGTTCAGTAGAGGTGTGTAAAATGCTACACTTAAAAAAGAGAAACCAAAGACACAAGTACTTAATGAGGGCAAACCAGTCAAGCAGCAGTTGGTATGAAAACACCCAAGTAATCACACTCAGCAAGGGCTAACATG